TGGTGTCAAAGTGTTTTGAGCTGATTTTGGACAACTGCAATGTGCTGAATCCAAACATTACTTTGGTTTTGCTCCATGAGGTCGACATTTTGATTTGATGAAACATTCAGTTTACTGGTATTCACCTTTACAGATGTTTACGTTCATCAACCTTTGGATCATTTAGCTCATGGAAAGGATTAGAAAGTGAATTTTTTTCTTTTAAATTTTGTTTTCTTTTGGGAATTCTTAAATTAATTCGTTGGTTATTTTCAAAAGTTGCCTTGGTTTTGTTGTTAAATTGGTTTTTTTAAATCTAGTTGGAATAAAAACCTGACCTGATACAGAAAAGCAGATTTCTGGATTCAGCGTTGAAAATGTTCTAAATCAGTTCAAATGTGAGACACCTTCAAAACAGTCTTTTTCTGTAACCCAGTGTGATGATTCTGAACCAGTACCAGAACTTTGAAAGTATAATATGAGCTCAAAGCAACACAGCTGCTACAGCCAGAGCAGGAAGGAGAGCCGGAGACGGTGTGGATGTGTGAGTTAATTAGCTTATCGTTATCACTGCCCATCGTTAAGACACGGGAGGACCCGGCTATAATTAGATGTAGCTCGTGCTTATGGCGGCGTGAAACACTTTAAGCCTTCGTCTTTCAGCTGCAACCCCGGTGGTGTCGAGCCGTCCTGGGAGCAAATAAAAACCAAACATAAAGACATAATTCAAACCGGTAAGTAGGTTTACTGCAGACACTGGACGGTACGGGGCTTTAATCAGCCTGTGTGCTGTTATTATACCACCGTAAGGCCAACAGCAAGAAATATACGGCATAGAGGAGAACCTGGTAGCCGACACCTCATATATGGGCTCGTTAGGGAAAGTCAAAGGGTTCATCTTCTCCTCTCACTGTCCCGACATCCATGAGATCGAGTTTGACCAAAGAACTGATCTGGAACCCGCTCTGGGGCAGGTTAGGCGTGCAGTAGAAGTCAATAAACCCCATCAAAGCCCCCAAAACCCAGAGTTAAAGTTACCTGGCTTCGTAGTGCAGGCCTCCAGTCCGATAGTACGACTGTGCCTTCCATCTTGCAGTAGCTCTTGGGTCCATTCAGCACCATTATAAATAGAGTCCTTATGCAGCTGTCTATTGGCACAATAACCCGATTGTTTTCTCTTCCCACTGCACCTACACAGACGTCAGTGAACAAGACTGGGAGTGAAGCCTTGCTAACAGACCTTAAACTAATCCTGAAACTAGTGTTGCGTTGCTGTTAATTTGTACCAATGTAAGTAAAATAAAACGGCAAAACCAAACCCTGACTGAACCACCAATCAAAGAGCTCCGGCCCAGGACGCCCACCGCTCCGTGGGCTCGGGCTGGACGGTTTGGTTGGTGAGTTTGAGCGGTTTGGTTTCATGCCAGCCTATAAGACGCACCATCGTTTTGCTTTTTAAGGTTGCCGCTGACCTCTATGTGGCTTGACCTGTTCTTGCATGTTGTTAGCAACCAGCTGATGCTACTGTTAGCGCTGCTAAGATGTTTTTGAAGCCGTAGCTGTAGAGTTCCTTCTAAGACGCGAGCACGCACATTGACTTTATTTAAGATGATTTGTGCTCATTGGCGAACTCACTTGACTCCCTGACTTTGCCTGACGCCTGTCCCCCAACAAACCCCCGTTGCTACTCATCCCGAGAGGATCAGGATCCTTTGACCTCCAGAGTTTTAATTCCCCTCCATCTCCTCTTTCCCCGTGTCCCTTTTTTTCCTGTGCTGCCATTTCTATTGGTGTACGTCATGCATCAACCCGTAACTCATTTGGCTCTCTCTCTCCTCTCTCTGTGTCTCTCCTTCTTGTCTGTGTGCTTCTTCCCATCCCTGATCACATGTCCTTTACTTTCCTGACTCGCTTTGCCTCCACCGTTGCTTTTACATGTGCTCATTCCAACCCGGTTCTTTCTATTTTTCGATGTTGATGATCATCCTTTCTCTGGTGATTTTTCCCTCTTCCCATCCTTCTCTCACTGTTCTGGCTCCCTCCCACACTCTCACACCTCTTCAACATGTGACTTTTTTTTTTTTTTCTTCTACATGCCATGTAATGTGCTTTGATTGGAACATCTCCTCTCAAACTCCTCACAACCCTCCCATCGCTCATTGAATGGCCTCTCTCCTACGACCATCTCTCCCCTGCTCCCACTCCTCTTTCCCCTCCCCTCTCTCTCTATCTCGCTAGGAGGACCAGCTTTCCTCCCTGGGTTCTGCAGACCCCGGTGTGAAAACTGAAGGTGGAGGGGGAGGAGGAGGAGGAGGAGGAGACGGAGCGGTAACCAACGATCAAGGCCTCAGAGTCTCTTCCTTGGGCATTTCCTCTGACAGCTCGCCCCACAATGGAGTCCTCCCCCAAACCGTAGACCCTCCCTCTCTGCCCACTCCTCATCAGCATCCTAGTCAGAATGGAGAGCTCCGTGGCAACCAAACATCCTCCCCCATGACAACCTCACAGGCAACCGGAACCACGGCAACAGCAACTACAGGCATAGCAGAAGAAGGGGGAGTAGGTCAAACACAACACTGAGCCAAATCAGAGAGAGATGACACAAAGGGAATCACTGTCCCCCGTCTTTTCTTTTTTTTCCTATTTAGCAAGACAATTCTCTGAAAAGAATATATCCTAATTGCCGGGGCAAGAGAGAGAAGAACAGTGTGCGGGAGCCGAGTAGAAACCACACAGCTACTGTACAGACACATCACACACAACACAAAGGGCTCTTCAACGGACACTTGTTCTGTCGACACTCACACGGAGCTTCAGATAGGATCAGTCTTGCAGGACAAGATAATGATACCTTATCAAGCATTTGACACACAAGCCGATATGTGAACACCTGCTCTGTGCACTCGTTGCCTGTCTCCATGAGAAACTAACACATGTAAGGATCAAGCTACGCGATAGAGCGTCACGCACCCCAAAGACTTTATAGTAGCCATTTGCAAAGAAGTGCTGTCAGCCACAGCTCATAGTGACCCTTGACTCCCATGGATGTAGACGCATTAACATACCTACCCTGAACACGCCAGGCTGCAATGTGTTTAGGTGCAGACGTGGCGGTGTGGTCTGGCTTTCTTAGTGCCTTTGAGTGTTTTTCAACAGGGTTTTCCACTAGAGCTGGAGATCCCGGTTAGCGTTGCTAGCACGAGGACTGATGTGTGGGCTGGAAACAGAGATTCAAAGACACAAGATCGAGCGTCATAGAGGTTTGAGTGACGGGAGACACTTTTGGGAACTTTTTTCCTTTTCTTTTTTCAATCTAAGGGACTCCTTGTTTTTGGACTGAGCTCATGCAATTTTTCTCTTCTCAATCTCAGAACCGATATGTGATAAACTGGTGCTAAACAGAAACAAATGGTGCCATTTTCCAAGTCAGCTGTCTGTGTCTGCCATAGCACTGCCTCCTCATGACTCACTCACCGTCTTTTCTCTCTCTGCTGGTATTTGTCTCTGACAGGACATCCCCCCCCCACCCCCGTATGTTCTCTACATGTCTCTGTCCGTGTTCTTTGTGCATCCTGTTGTGTTCCTCTGTCTGATGGGGTTTCCATATCTGTTCCTTAGAAGTGCACTCCTCCAATCTCTGCTCTTATTTACAGTTAATAAACGCAGCTACCAGGCTCAAATTTGATGGATCAAGTATTGCACGGGTTGCTTCATGTCTGTGGAGACCGACACCCAAAGTGCTACTTAATTATTTTAACATGAAATAAAATGGATGAATGTTTTTTTGTTGTTGTTTTTTTTTAAGTTAAAACGATGTTGGTCCATTGTGTTCTCATTTAGAAACGGAGTGATTTTTTTTCAGACACTCGTACAATTTTCAGCAAAACTAATGTTTTCAGTGCAAATAAATACGACTGATGTTTTTACTTTTGGGCATGAAGTACATTTCACAGTATTTTTTACAGTAAAAAATTGCCAGTGGAACACTTTGTTCCTTCTTGAACATGTGTAGAAAGACCATTTTCAACAGTTTAGCTTTGCTTAGCCTGCCATGAAGTGCCTGGGATAAATATATCGAGCATCCTTCGGCCAGTAGACGAGCTAGTCATCGAGCAAATGCACCTTACGAAGCCTTTCTTAATCCAATAGTAATATATTACACACGTGATTTTTTAAAAACAGACTTTTTTGTGTAGTTTCCATAATCTGGAGCATTGAAGCAGATCAAATGCAAACTATTTGATTTACAGTAAATTTTAGAGACACTGTCTGATGTATTTTTGAAACGAGCTCTTCTCACGTGTCAGCGGCTGAAAACTGGAGTCTTTGAAATGTTTGTATCCATTTTCCTTCATTCTGTGTATGAACTGTCCGTTGTACGGTTTGTCTGGATGTGAACCTGTATTTTTTGTCTCTGTAGCCTCACACACTGGTGTCGCTCTGCAACAACTCGGCTCGTTTAAATGTGCAGGTTGAACCACGAGGAGTTGAAGAGTTTCACGTCAGCGTCGTGTCCGCCATTGTTCTCTGTAGACAGAACACGTCACCTATCAGAGTCAAACTGGCCGACAGTAGATTAGCTCAGATTGGACTCATACTTCCAGTGAATGTTTAACTTGTTGAACCACCAAATGTGACCAATGCTGGCAGTGTGACGCAGGGACAGACGTCCACCGGGACATCACGTAGGGCTACTTCTCTCTTGTGACATTACTTGTGTGATAAATGTTGGATCCAAAGCGGGCTCGGTTGTGAACATCAGTGTCTTTTTTTTTTAGAGATGTGAGATGATCCGTGATTGAGAAATTAACATTGCTGTGAAAATACCTCAGTGACTCAGGTAAACAAGCAGTTGCCTCAGAGCTGAACACAAAAACTATAAAAAGAAAAGAGATGAGTCCAGCTTTGGAAAGACTGCCACCATGCAGATACTCGGTCAATAGCTGTGCTTCAATAGCGCCTGATCAAGCACCCTCCCCCGTTTCTTCTCTCTCTCTGTCTCCCTCTTTTTCTCCCCCCAGCCACTCTCAAAGCTTCATCGAGGACAATGTGGAACCTAATTGGCTGATGCACCATCGGCAGTCTACAGGGTGGCATGGCCAAATGTCCAGAGCCCTCTCTCGTGACGCGATTGGCTGACAAAGGGAGAACTTGGGGCATTGGTCCCATTCTCTTTGCCCAAGGGATGGTGCAGAGCCCCAGCGGACCATGTAAGGAAATGCTGGGTTTTTTTCACTTTACTTGGGCCCTCTCTCTCTGATTTGATAAAAGGATTTTTTTTTTTTTTTTTTAAATGTGTTTGACGCCTCATGGTTGGATCTATTTTACTTATCAAAGGTAGGCTGGACCTATATTGGTGTTTGTTAGCCTGCCGAGCATGCAAAGAACAGCTATGCAGTCTGATCAATCAGCAGAACGGAGGAACACAAAGGCCAAGGAAGGCGTGACGCTCAAAACGAGAGAGAGGGGTGGGTAAGATGTATTTCAAAGGTGCTTGACTTCTCTTAAAATTTCAGTCAAAGCTGATTTACTTTCAAAGCATTTATTTCCCTCTCTCTCTCTCTCTCTCTCTCTCTCTCTCTTTCTATCTATCTCTCTCTTATAGTCTTTTCAAATTACCCTTTGATTCCTCTTCATCTACTCGCTCTTTATTCATCTAGGATTCTCAAAGCATTATTTAACCACTTCAGTCCATTCGAGACGCACTCGATCGCTTTGTCGACTCATAGTTTCTAGCTCTCCCGTTCAGACTTTGATTTTAAAGGAAACTAAATATGCACAGCCTAATTCAAAAAAGTGAAACTGCTTCTGAACAAAACTCTTGCTTCAGTGAAGACTTTGAAAAACCGGACAGAATGTTCTTATTTATATTTCTATGATGACACTGCTTATTCTTACGATAGTATTTAAAAAGAAACTCTTCATCAGAAATCTTCCGGAGCAGATATTTATTTCTTGATATAGATAGATGCCTCTATCTAATGGAAGTTCATAAATAATCCATTTTATATGAACCGAGTTTTCTTACTGAGACAATCCTGCGGAGAGACGCGTTGCCCTCCAGGACGCTGACGACAGGGACAGACTTGTGTTTCGCCTACTCCCCTAACCACAGTGTGCACGTTGCTGTGACCTGATCCCTCCTTCCTCTTGGTTATAATCGTTCAAAAACAAAACAGAAAGAGAGAAGCAGGCGGATGTTTCTCGTCCAAAAATCGCCATGGAGCTCTCCATTTACGGACGATGTGACAGTCTTTGGATAAGGACGTTCTTACCGTTTTGTACTCCACTTCGACTATCTGTCTGTAGGCTTTTAACCAAGCAGAGGATAAACTCTTGGTTTCAGTGTGGCCACATTTCTGCAGTCAAATTGCTGTAAAACTCCCCGTTGATTTCTCTGGATGGACTCCACTGACACCAATCTGAGTTGAAAATCCCTGCCATTTCTACTTTTGACTCAAACGAGGACAGAGAGAGATATGTTAGAGGTCCTGCTAAAACGAGTGAATGTGTTTGTATATAAGTGTGTGTTCTGGCTCAATCTTTTGTGTATATACTGGATATATGTGTATATATGGTATGTCTATGTGTATATACAGTTTGTTTGTATATGCAGAGTGTACAGTTATTTTTTCCTCTAATGTTTCTCTCTCTTTCTATGAATAGGTCTTCTCAAGTAACCAATACTGAGGCATGGAAAGGTTTTTACATGTACTGACAGCTATCAGAGGCACTTTGTGTGCAGACTTAGAGTATCAGCCGGGTCTGTCACTTCTAGCTGCATTCTTGAAGCTCTCATACAAGAAGTAACTCACATAATCTTAAGCTTGCACTCATTTTCTGACCAACTAAAAGCTTTTCTAAGTAGATTTGGGTGACCAAGCAATGTTTGTACATATATAGACTAAGACAATTTTCTGTTTTGTTTTTCTTTCTTTCTTTTTTTTTTTTTCCAGAAAACTCCATTTGCATTTCTTTGAAATTTCTCAACCTGTTTTGAGTTCTTGCGTATCTGACTTTCACTTTAGGTTCCTATGGTATATGTTTGCAACGGTTGTCATTCAGAGTTATATATTTATTCCGACAACCCTTATATTATATTTCTTGAAATTTTGTTCCCCAAATTCTGCCTCTCATGGAAGCGTCTCACCTCGTGATGCGGGTAGACCGGCAAATCCTTCCATGAAAGTAAACTGTCATTACTTAACATTGCTTGTTTTTGTATAGGTCCTTACTAAATAAGTGTGCCTCCCCCCTTATACTCTTACTAACCTTAGATCCATTAACGCCGCTGGTCACACATCTCCATACCCCCTTGACAAGCCATAGCCCCCTCCCCCAGAACTCCTCTATTGTTGTTTTGACAGGACAGACATTTGGGGATTTTGTGTATATTAATGGAAGAGTGCTGTTGAAGAGTGTATTGCAGTTGTATATGGATTTGTTATGAATGTGGATATTCTGATCATTGAATTATTATTGTAATAATGATAATAATTATTGCCACTTTGATTATTTTGTTGATTAATTCCTTTGATGCGGTTGATGAAGATGCCATTGTTCCTTTTCTTTTTTTTCCTTTTGTCTTTTTTCTGTTATTTTTTTTGGAATACACCGGAATTTATATTTTTCGGGTGGGTGAATCTGGAGATAGAAATACGTAAATAAATTAATAAATAAACAAATAATTAAATTCTTAACGCAGTGTGGAAACGTGTGCTTTTGTTCTTAACCCACTGGCTCTGGCTGCGTTCAGAGTCCGTTTCAGAGTCCGTGGTCGGATCTTGTGATGTTCTGTGTTTATTATTCTCAACTAATCACAAGAACACACCAAACTGCGGATCCGAGCCCTGACATGTTCTGTCCCTGTCTGACGTAGAGTTCCCCTGTCGTCCACAACTATCAGAAAACACATGAATGAGCCACACTGGGTGGCGTTTTCCTTCATTACCATGAACACAAACACTGCAGTTCATCTTGAGTCCATCTCAAACTGCTTCCGGAAACACTCACACTGAATGTGTGTTCATCCGCAGCTGAAAATAGTCCCCAACAAACACAAGCTTTACTCTGATCTGAGTGACGCTGGGGAACATCTACAGTGTTGGGTGTTTATGTCTGCTTTTCTTTGCATAGCACAACATATATACCTGTCACATTTGTATTTACACGTTTACATCCGTGACAGGAAGCGACGTGATAAGTGCTGAGTGCCACAGGGACACGGGCAGGTGGACGAACCCGGCTTCAGCCTTTTTATGGGATTAATCGACAAGAACAAAAATATCAAACATCTGTGAAAGAAGCACATTTTGTCTGGAAGCAGGGTTTGATTTTCTTCCTTGAAACATGTTGGGCTACATCTGATTATTAGAATTATTATTGATTATTATTGATTAGCCTGTTGGGCATTCTCTAAATTAGCTGATTCATTGTTGAGGCTACAGAATATCAAAAAATGGTGAAAAATGTTTATTCTAATTTCTCAAAGTGGCATCACTGAAAAACTATTTTAGTACGATTAGAAAACCAAAACTCAAAATATTTAATTACAAACTTTATAAAGGGGGAAAAAATTAGAAAATTACGAACATCCATCATCTCTACACCTTCATCCTCACTATGGGGGGCGGAGCCTATCCCAGCTGACTCAGGGTGAAGGCAGGTTCACCTGGACAGGTAACCAGTCTATCACAGGGCTACACTTAGAGACAGACAACCAAGCACACTCACATTCACACCTACGGACAATTTACAATCACCAATTAACCTCAGCATGTTTCTGGACTGTGGGAGGAAGCCGGAGAACCCGGAGAGAACCCACGCTGCACGGGGAGAACATGGAGACTCCACGCAGGAAGATCCCGGGTGTCCTCACCGGGACGCCAACCGGTGACCTTCTAGCTGTGAGGCGCTAACGGTGCTAACCACCGAGACACCTGCAGCCCAAATTAAGAACGTGGAACCGATAAATGTTGAACATCACTGCTCGTTAAACAACTCTTTTATTGAAAGTTGTTGTCAGGAAACTTTCAACTGATCATCAGCTGATTACTTAATGGTTTAATTGATGACTATTTACAACATAATGGACTAAAACAACACTTTGGATTTAATCAGTTCAATCGTGGACATTTCACACAAGCTGTTTGCTGTGGCAACAACACAAGTACTTTGTGTTGAACTAAATCAGTTCAAATTTGATGCAATAAAATAAATAAACACTTAAAAACTGAACAGTAACCAGATACCCGACTGCTCCATGTGGATCACTGTTTGGCTGCTCATGTGCTTTAATAATCGTACCTTTAAAAAGCTTAATTTAAAATGATTAGAAAGTCAAGTCAGAGATTTATTTTCATCTTCAGATTAATCGGCTCATTCACTCTCGTGTTTTTAAATATAAGATGAGCTCACATGGAAGTTCTTGCAGCTCGTGATTGCATCGTCTGCGTTTCGTTCAGCTGCTCAGGACTGTGGTTCTTGGTGAGCAGATCATTTCCTCACATCCTCCCCATCCGAGGAGCAGGGAATGAGGATGGCAGGCGGGATCTGGGAGCTGGGGACTCGACTGAATATAGCAAGCTTGTAATTATCCTCATCCTCCTACACTTAATCGCCTGCGGTTCCTCAGGGGGTTGGCAACTTCTGACTTTGGACAGAGCAGAAAAAAAGCAGCACACAATGGAGGAGCAATAGACGGTTCATGCTGTGTAAACAGAACAGAGCAGAGACTTCCATCTCAGCTTACTCCACACCTGAGTATCAGATATATTCCTGCATTTATTCTGCCAGGTTACACTGAGAAAAATCTACACCACAAAGATTTTTTAAAAATGTGTGATGTCAAACTATGTGCCTGTTAAAATATGCCAGAGTGTGTATTTTCATTCTCCTAGTTCCAGGCATGCATACACATCCACTAACCGAGTGAAGAATCCTGCACCTCCCATCAAATAAAGCCGACTTTCTCTCCCCAGCAAATGGTTCACATCCTTCAGTCAGCCCCTCCTTCATCGTCTGTCATCACAGCATCATCCACAGTCAGGAGATACATAAAAACATAAAAAATTACAGAAGCAAGCATCTCTCTGTGACATTTATAGGGGGTTCAAATAATTTACAATCTTTGTAGACCTCTATTGGCAACCGGTGAGAATTACAGCAACAGAGCTGCATTCTCTTCTATTAATAAACCTGATTCTGCCACCGTTAGCAGCAGTTTTTGATCAGCCCTGTGCCCTTTGTAGTGAGCACAGGACTAGGAAGGCATGCAAATAATGTAATTCTAAACTGGGAGCTGGAAGGACCTGTGGTTTGTGACACAGCTATCAGGTCATTTGCATACGTAGCCTGGGGACTCATAGCGGGGGAAAATGTTTCATGAGGCATGGAAAGAATTCTTCTTCATGTCTCGTTTAGATGCCTGAAGTCAGCAAAGAATTATTAAAGCTTCTGCACAGCATGTGCTTTCTTTTTTTTCTGACTGATTAGACTCTAGCTCGGTTATGCCGCCTGAACTTGTGCAGGAAATTATTGGAAGTCATCAAAATGTTCTAACAAGAAGGGGACAGAAAATAAAGTTATCATTAGATGGAGGGTTGTGTCAGTCAAGCCATCTGCATACCCACACCGTCCATCCATCATCATCTCTACACCTTAATCCTCACCAGGGTCATGGGGGGCGGAGTCTATCCCAGCTGACTCAGGGTGAAGGCAGGTTCACCTGGACAGGTAACCAGTCTATCACAGGGCTACACTTAGAGACAGACAACCAAGCACACTCACATTCACACCTACAGACAATTTACAATCACCAATTAACCTCAGCATGTTTCTGGACTGTGGGAGGAAGCCGGAGAACCCAGAGAGAACCCACGCTGCACGGGGAGAACATGGAGACTCCACGCAGGAAGAGATCCATATACTGTTTCTCATATTCTATAAGACTCATCATGAGTGAAGTAAGTGCTCCACACCATGGCTGATCATGTCCACCTTGACGTGCAGTGTACCGATGACAGTCTCAGAAACACAGATCCACATTTCCAGTGTTTCATTTAACACACTGCACTAACCTTCCTGTCAACCTGCAGGGTGGGACTTTCAGCATCGTTCTTCTTCAGAGTCAGTTTACGGTTCAAACACGCTCCAGTATTAGGGCTGATTTCACCATTATGTAGCACAGAGCAGTTTTACTATGATTAAAGTTGTAAAGAAGCTGGTGTGTTCGAGCTGCAGCGATAGAGGACATGTAAGATCGAGGCCCAGATCTGCACACTCTAAAGAAAGGACGAGGAAACAAATCAAATATGTTTCTTTGATACATGGAGACTAGTTTCTTGGGGCCTAATTAATGACTGGAGAAGGACTTTTAAAAACCTGCACCGTTGTGTATTTGCTTGGTCAGATTTGTATGTTATGAATCGATTCTTTCAAGTCACATGCGCTCACTTTGCAGCTTCATTAATAGCAGGCTGAGGGACGACATGAAAGAGGTGAGTTCAAATAACACATGCGAAGCTAGTGGGGGAACACTGTCATATGGGGAGAGGACATCCTACTGTAATTATTCACCACAGAGAACCAAACCAACACAGAAAGTGAAGATGTGTCCCTCTCTCCAAACATCAGCACGATGCACCGCTTTCATCAGCTCTGTTACAGGCACTCTGTCATAATTAGATTAAATTCATTTTGGTGTTTCTTTTTCATCTGCAGTTCATTTATATTCTGAATTTCTAAATTGCAGGATTTTTCCAGATGATCGGAAATGGGGGGTTTGTAAACTGTCTGGCAACCGCCAGACGTAATCTCGTGAGTATGTGCTGTAGTCTCGCGGTACTCAGGCGGTCACAGCCTGATAGGAAAAATGGCCGCCTTCGTAGCAATGGCTGGAACGGGGAACAACACAAGAGGCATAACAGAGCGTTTTAGCTGACCGGGAAGAGCGCAGCTAACCGGGCACCCCCTCCTACCCGGTTTTCAGAACGGATGGGTAGAGGGGGTTTTGCCAAAGGACACGAGAAACGAAAGAGACTCGGTGGGAAGAGAAGGAAAGCTAAGGCTACTGTGTTAGCTAGCGCTAGCTGGCTATCAACACGGCTGTCACTGCCGGGGAGCAAACCCGAGGAGCCGTGACAACTGTGCGACGACAGGGTGGAAGGAAACGGCGACGAAACGCGGGAGCGTGTGATCAAACATCTGGGTTGTCGCTAATATGAGTGGACCGGGGCAGGACAGCGAGCCAGAGGCGAAAGTCCTTCTCATCAAGCGGCTTTACAGGTACCTTGACGAGGCCGTTTTTGTCGAGCTAACCGAGGTGCTAATTGAACGTTATTGTGCTGGCTAGCTTAGCGCTAGCCAATCAGTGCTTGCTGTCACAGCAGAGGGTCTAGCTAACTATTCACCGATTCACTTGTCACGACTTTGAGTATCCCGACATGTCTGCTCGCTCGTCAGTGTCACAGCAGCTAAATTTGACTCATCGTTGTGTGACTCAGTGCAGCTCGTGGTGGCTGATCAGCTTTAAGGAGCTGCACGTCTCAGTCCTGCTTTTGTTGGAGAAGTGAAACACACAAAGGGCTGCTGGCTGCTCGTGTGACAGCCAGTGGACAGACATGGACACGCACCATGCAGATGACCTTCTGTTCTGATTCAGAGATAAAGTTTCAAATCCCATTTCTGCTGTCGGGGTTAGAGATTTAGCTAACTATGTGCAAAAGTGTTTAATCGGTAATAAATTCCTGACCAGTGAGTTAATCCTCGTCAGGTGTGGCTCTAAAGAACAATGACCAGATAGTGTGACAGACTCTCCTGTGGCCAGTACCTACAAAAGACCGCCTTAAAATGCAGTTTTATTCTAGTAAGATGATGTCACACATGACAAGAGAGAGACCAGGATGGGCTGCTGGTGTGCCTGTTATGGCCGTGGCCGGGCACCTGAATGTCCACGTCTCCATCATTTGTCGTTTAGGACATCGTTTCAGAAAGCTCTAGATGATGAACAACATGATTTTGTCCCCCCAAATGTCCACCAGCTTCACCGAGCCCTGTAGGAAGAGTGGAGCAGCATTGAAACCTCATTTACCGCCGCAGACGTGTGACTCGCTGCTGACTTGTGGTTTCTGGTCCATGACCCGCTCCCTGGCTGCCTGTTATTATTACGATATGGTGGTTTCATGACATCTGTTTCACATAAGGTCATAGTATTTATTACTTTATGTGAAACAGAATGAATGGAACTGAATTTAATATGACATGCTATGTTTATATTTTAGTTCCATATATCTGTTCTGGTTTCACCTGACACCTATTATCAGCTAGCTGATGTGTAGCTTGCAGCTTGTCCCCTTGCTGATGCTTTCTGTTTCCAAACGCTGCCCAGGGCTGTGGTGGAGTCTGTGCACAAGCTGGATGTCATCATCGGCAGCAAATCGTCCTACAGAGAGGTCTTCAAGCCGGAGAACATCAGCCTTCGCAACAAGTACGTCCACCTGTCCCAACAGCGTGTGTGAATCAAGGAGGCAGTAATTTCACCTGTACTGGCTCCATGTAATCAGAGTATTATCTGGTCTGGCTAGTTGTCTAGTGTATGTCATGATTCTCTGCCATGCTGGTTTTTTCCACTGGGATTGACCCTGTAGCATCTGTGTAAGCTCAAGTGTTGGTCTGATCTTCTGTGTCCTGACTGTACCTGAATCCATCATGAGTAAGAGGACATTGGAGATAAATATGAGATAGAGAGATGATCTGCAGAGACAGAGGCAGAGGAAATGGCATCTCATCGTGCTTAGTGTCTTCTTTGGGAGTTTATTCATGCAGACCTTAAAGTCAGCTTGATGTGCCCTCAGCATGCTCAGGTCTCCACGTGGAGCTGAAATGATCAGCCAGCTAATCAGCTGGACTGAAAATTAATATGCAGCTCTTGTGATTGTTGAAGAATTGTGTAGTTTTTTAATTATAGACACTGGACGTCTCCTTTCACAATTTAACTTTGTCATGTGTGGTAAAACAGTGAATGTTCTTGAGTTTTGATCCTGGTAGTTGGACAAATAAGATGTTTTAAAATGTCACCTGGTCATGCATCGTCACTACTGTAACAAGAAATACGTCCAGTAGTTCACTGACAGCCAATGAAGAGAATAATCACTGAAACTACAACTCGTGTGCAGACGTATTCGTATCAGTGTCTGTCTCTAGAAGTGGAACCATGAATCAGGTTCAGTTGTACACTCACATCGACACGGTTTGGGATAGTTTAGTGTGTTAGCTGTGGTCATGTTTTGTTTTTTACATGTAAATCAGATTAGTTGGTAGCTCTGGTAAGGTGCTGGGTGAAACTGGTTTTGGGATTAATCAAAGTCTTTTGGTCCATACGATGTCAGAAAGTGCACGTGTCCTACAACAACGATCCGAGACACAGAACAGGATTGGGTCAGAGCTACACAGATTCTGGTGGTTCTACATGGAAGTATTTAATTAAAATGACCAACGTGTTTTCTTCAGGGTCATCGTCGGCAGTGACGTACACGCCTGTGTTAGAGCGATGAGGTGAACAGAGGGCATTTCTAAATGTCTGACCAGTATCCAACGTATTCTATTTCGTATCTTAGAAGACCACAGAAACCAGAAAATATTTATATTTTACAAGCTAAAGCCATAGATTATTGTACTGTCGATTGATTAATCACCTTTATTGCTGCAGTGCTCGCTGATATTATTAAATGATCCTCCCTGGTGTTGAAGGATGGCAGAGCAAGCGCTGACGAGCATCTTTAAAGGAGGAAAAATGAGAAGTGCAGCATGTACTTGTCTAACTTTATGAACATAAGCATGCTGTTTGCTGCACACATGAATAAGGGTCTGAGATTTCACTAAATGCTTGTGAGCAGCTTCTGAAGCAGAGTTGTCACAGACTAGAAAGACAAACACTTCAGTAATGCCACAAATATTCCTTTTTGTCCAATAGTACGGACTGTACCGATGTTTGTAAAGTGGGGCTGCAATCAGGGATTATTTTCATTATTGATTCACCTGCTTTGTCTTTGCAGGGTCCAAAAAAAAAAGAGCCTGTGACGATGTGTTCAGATGTTTAGTGTCTAATTCACGGTCTCTAAACTCAAACATGCAGTTTAATCAAACATTCCCACAATAGAGTCTACGTTCATGGAGGTTATAATGTTCATCATCTTGTAGGCTGCAGTTTGTGGTGCTGTTGAACAGACATTTAGTGTTATTTAACCTCTCCTTATTGACGTACAGTTAGTGCAGGTAACTGGTTTAACACAGGAAATTCAAACAGCACTACAAACTGCAGCCTCACAGTTGATTTAATATCCCTCTAAAGCAGTTTTAACACAAACTGAGCATTGTAAGGTTGGTGTTGTTGTTGCAGGACAGCTTCAGTTTTAGATGGATGTACTTAACAGACTGGAAGCTGAGTGTATGTTCAGTCTACTGCCGTAAACAGTATGACTGACACATGCAGCCGAGTTTACGATATGTAAATGAACCGATTGTCAGAATAGTATTACTTTGAACTCTGCTACAGAAGTAGCTCATCAAGCAGGATTTTTTTGGCACAAGAAATTTATCAATGCTTAGTTGTTTCGGTTCTTGCGTAGCCCCGCCCTTCAGGTGAGAACAGGTTGACTCATTGGTCCGCTTGTCAAACCGGTGAGCCAGCTGCCTCCTCCATGTATGCATCTCTTTTTCTTTCTGTGTTTTCAGGCTAAGAGAGCTTTGTGTGAAACTGATGTTCCTCCACCCTGTCGACTACGGCCGTAAGGCTGAGGAGCTGCTCTGGAGGAAGGTCTACTATGAGGTCATCCAGGTTATCAAGACCAACAAGAAGGTAAATGGCCCTGCAGCTGTGGGAAAGATGCCTCCCTGCATGTGTTAAGCCAGCTCGTTTTTCTCCTGTTAGCTGGCTTTCACTGAAAGGTCAGCTCTGTCATGCCATTTAGTGGCCATGCCAGTGACCACAAAATGGCAAATGTCATGCATGGGCAGTCCCATTGGAAATCAGACGTCTGAAAATGGCACTAACGGCCCTTTGCTCTGTTATTGGACCAGCACAAGTACAGAACCAAGAAGTAACGGCGTTTATCACAGCCGCATCGTTTCTTGTCTTTGGTTTTTTTTTGGTATAAAAATGTTTTTATAATGATTTTAATCAGTTTAACTAGTTTAAATCATGAGAGATTTTTCTAATTTATGATTTATCTTCTTTAAACACAACTTTTTGGTCATACTATTTTAATATCATGTTTTCCAGCAGCGGTTTGTTGCTTATTTTTTAATTGCTTGTCATCTGTGTGCATGTAGAGCATACTTTAGTTTTACACTGGAAACTACAGAAGCCTTCACAGCTGCTCTGTGGGTCGTGTTTATTATCGCTCTTCTGCTTTAGCCTTTTCCCACTCGTCTTTCTTCCGCTGCAGCACATCCACAGTCGCAGTGCTCTGGAGTGCGCCTACAGAACACACCTGATCGCCGGCGTGGGTTTCTACCAACACCTTCTGCTCTACATCCAGTCGCATTATCAGCTGGAGCTGCAGGACTGCATCGACTGGACCCACGTCACAGATCCACTCATCGGTCAGACCTGCAAGCACAAACTCACACACACACACACACACACACACACACACACACACACACACACACACAGATCCAGGTCAAGAAGTAAAAGTAGTGATGGCTGGATTGAGTGTAACTGGTTCGGTGTGAGGATCCTGGTGTTGTGCGTATAGATGTGTTATAAATACAGCCTCTACTGTTCCTTTGAAGACAAGTCAGATGGCTTCAGCAGTATGTTTTTTAGTTTTAATGACCCTCGTCCTTTACAGCTGATATTAAAATGCGCTCAGTGGAGTGACTCACTCTCCAAATAATAAAAACGTGTGAACTAGGGCTGCACAGTTATTTTAATAATAACCTTGATCACGATTCCTGCTGTGTGCGATTAAATGAACATGACTGACTACTACGGTGACATTTAAAATGCATGCTTTACTTATAAAATATTTGGCTGCATATCATCACTTCTTGGAGCCCTAATGCTGCTGCGCCCCGGCAGCGGTGGTCTCTGCAAAGACTTTCCTGGATATTGCATCTGCAGTCCAGAAAAAAAAAAAACACCTCAAACTGCAGTGTGATAAATGCATGAAGTCCAAGAAGAATCACCTCAGTGACTGTCCGTCCTCGTCCACCATCCGTTCTGTACGGCAGCGCTTTACGGTAGTGCAGGACGCTGAAGTAAAAGCTGCTCTGTTGGTTTATCTTTTGGTTTTATTTGTCCACTAGGAGCTGCACTGTGATCAAGGCTAGTTTTAATTTGCACATGAGCAGGAATGTAGTAGAACTGAGAGTGAAAGATTTTTAAATGTCAAAGTACAACAACAACTAAATAATAATGAATAAATAATTCCTGCACTATGCAGATGGACAGGTGCCAGTTCAGTGGATGCTCAGCAGCAGACAGGTGTAGCCCCGCCCACCCAGGTGGTGGCGCTGTACAGCCTGCACTCCTCCAGCGCCTAACAGGGCCTTGCCTTCTTCTCTGTGGTTCAATACTCTGCCGTTTTTGCAAATGCCCTGCATGGATTAAATTTGCACGGACAAGATGGTATCAGAGGCGCTACACCTCTGGCAGTCAGCTAAATGCGCTCCATAATCCCGTCTGTATTATCTCAACAATATGACCAGTAAACAGGCCCAACATAAACAAAGCACTCCTGTCTGAGAAGTCGTGCTTCAAGTAGTATCAGCCTCTGCTGCTCTGATCCTAATGCTGTGTTGGACTCTAAGCTCTGCTAAGTTCTGTTGTTATGTAACTTCAAGTCATTTCGGGTAAGTGCATTGGCTAAATGCTTGAAATGTTTTGTTTTTTGTTTTTTTAAATGCATTGTGTAATTGTTCTCAACAGGCCGAAAGAAACCAGTGTCAGCCAGCCCCAAAGAGATGGAGTGGGCCCAGATGGCCTGTCATCGCTGTCTGGTCTACCTTGGAGATCTAGGTAATAACATGATAACAGAACATGTCATGAATTCAGCTCTCCACCAGCTCGTGGAAGTGTGAGACAGCATGTGTGTGTCATTCAGCGTGGGAAAATCTGGCTTCGGTCTATAGAATAATTGGCAGGAGGCTGTTTGGTAGGTTCATGTGATACAGAGACATCGGTGCATTGATTGAGACGTTATTCTGTTTTGGACAAACGTGCTGCTGTCTGCTCCGTGTAGATCCGTGTTTATAGATCAGCAAGTTTTTGTATTATGACATTTCAGAGATGAATGATACGGTGCACACAGTTTTATAAATACAGTCATGACTCGATGATCGACCCTTAACAATCCTAAACCTGCTGTCCGACAGGTTTGTAGGAAAAACCAACAGAACCCATAAAAACAGCCTTAACATAGCGACAGCCTTGGATTGTGACTCCGACATGACATTTAATGTCACCAATCAGGATGACGGCGTATTATCTGACTGAACAATCCCACAGATTGGCTACGTTCACACTGCAGGACTTGATGCTCAATGAGGATTTCTTTGTGACTTCCTTCACGTTTCCACTTCAATGCGACTTGTATGTGATCTGCTGTGTGAACTTCATACGAGCCAAAAGTGTCCCGCATGCGCAGAAGAGGACACGACGACGTCACACGCAGCGAGCGTGCTCAGTGTTTATGGAAGTAAACATGGATGGTAACAGTGGAGCGTATCTGCCACTCCCCCGCCGCCACCGATGGAGGAAACAGAAGTGTGAGCGCTAACTAAACTAGCATCAGCAGCCAAGTACTGCCTGTGTGTTCTGGACACTTCCACCCCGTCAGAGCGCTGCCCCGGGGTGGAAGTGTCCCCCGACCGGGACGAATATCCTGATATTCATCATTAATTGGGCCTGAATATCCAGAGAGCAGAAAGTTCTATTGGGACCAGCCCTACTAGTTATTATAACAACTATGAACAATAATGAACAACTAATGAGCCTTCCAGCATCAAGCCCTCCTCGTATCTGGACCTCCGTCTGGACAATCCGACAGCCTTGATATCCGACATAGAAGAAGGTTTTACATTTAGTGTCGGGTCATCGAGTCACCACTGTGTTTATATTTGTCGCTATTTTTGTTGTTCATGTTCTGTTTGATGTTTTAACGTTCTCTTCAGCGCGCTACCAGAACGAACTTGCAGGAGTGGAGGCTGAGCAGCTGGCAGAGAGGTTTTACCATCAGGCCCTATCGGTCATGCCCCACGTAGGTGAGTAACTGTAGAATATATACAGAACACTGGGTTACTCTGCTTTTTCTCTGGTCATACACAACATACTGAAGGCAAAGAGGACGAGCTGCCTCTAAATAGCTGAGTTAAAGATTTAAATAAAAATGTTTGATCCTGTTGATTTTTACTGCTATCATATTATTGTGTGAAGAGAGCAAATACGCTGTGTGTTCAAACATTACTTAAAGTTACATTTTTGTTTTTTTAATGCCACTTTCACATCCTGTACGGTGAATAGCATGTGCAGCAGCTGCTTAGCTTAGCTTAGCTTAGCTTAGCACAAAGGCTGAACATGTGGTTAAACAGCTCATCTGGCTCTGTCTAAAGGTAGCAAACATGTCAAACTGTTTCTTGATAGCATGAGCAGTTCATTTCAAAGCAACTAGAGGCAGCTAAATACCTGTTATACGGAATAATTACGTCTGTTTATGCTTTAAATGTATAGATTCCTAAATGATAAGAGGATGTTTCATAAAAAGCTGCATATTGCAGCTACTTTGCCTCCATATATTGACGTGTTGCACTGTAATATTTTGGTGCATCATCTTTATTTTAACAGATCTGACAAAAAACATAGTGATTCTCAGTCCACATCACATTACCTCCAAACATAAATGTTCATCCTCCTGTCTGTATGCAGGAATGCCTTTTAACCAACTGGGCACACTGGCAGGCAGCAAGTTCTACAACGTTGAAGCAACCTACTACTACCTACGCTGGTGAGGGACATGTTGAAGTTACAGGACGTGTCACAAGTTTAGCCAGTTGTTGTTAAGTCCTGACAGATGTTCTGTCTGTGCTCAGCATCCAATCAGATGCTCCTTTTGAGGGCGCCTATGGCAACCTCAAGCGCCTGTTTGACAAAGCTGCCAAGATGTACCACCAGGTGAAGAAGCAGGAAATGAAGAAGCTGTCTCCATCTCGGCAAAGGTGAGGAGGATTTCTGTCCACTTCCTGAAACCACAGTAAACTGTTCCTAATCAGCAATCAGCCGATTTCCAGGTCGTTTGAATCGTTTACTATGAGTGGGTTAGATTTTATTGTTCCAGCCTTTGACATTTTTATTTGTCTCACTTCTGTTGGTTCATACTTTAAGTGGTGTTACTGATGATCTTCATCAGCTTGTTTTGGTGAAAATCCATTTAAAATAAAGAAAACATTTTGACTTCAGTCTGCCGAACATCCCAGAGCAATTTTAATCTAGTCCCAGCTGACTGCTGGGGGTTCACGTAATTAACGAGGTGTGCGCTCGCCGTCTCAATCACAAAGGCGCTCGAACCTCTGGTGGGATAAAGCAGCATCTCTCTGCAGATGAGATGAGATGATTGACGATCCCTGTGGGGTAATTAGATTGTTGAATGCAACAAAAGTTACAGGATTCGGTTGGAATAAAAGACAAATATAAACACAAATGAAGAATGTTAAATAAGCTCTTCAGAGGCCGGCGAAGCAAAGAGGCTTAACGAATTCTTCTGCCACCTGGACAGAAAACAACACTGCTTCTGTTTCATTTACATAAACAACCAGCGACCGCTTTGGACCATATCAGTGTCCTGTTTGATAGGTACACCTGTACAGTCTGATGCAGCTCAGATGTTCTGAGCTGATATTGATGATAATGTAGGAAATCTGCACATTTAATTAGTTAAATATGTGTTTAATATATTATCCCAGACAAAGAGAGGTGTCTTTAATATCCACTGTGTGAATTAAAAATGTTCTTTTGCCACAGTTTGTCTCATACTTGGAAGTAATAAACAGACTGTGTGTTGTGGCTGCAAGGTGGTGTGATGCTCCCTACATCCATGTTCTACTGGTTTTCTAGGCTGAGCTCATGGTGATTTTATTTGTTATCATACCAGGAGTAGTTATAGCTACATGCTGCCACAAAAATGTAAAAAGACAAGAGGAATTTATGAATGAATATTTCTATTGATTTTCCATCACATTTTCAAAAATTAGGCAGTAATAATTATGAAGCGTGTATTAAATTTAAACCTGTCTGTTTTTTTCTTGAATAAACAATTACTAAAAAGAAAACCTATATTCATAAATGGGCTGCAGGTGCTCAGTGGTTAGCACCATCGCCTCATAGCTAGAAGGTCACCGGTTGGCGTCCCGGTGAGGACACCCGGGATCTTCCTGCGTGGAGTCTCCATGTTCTCCCCGTGCAGCGTGGGTTCTCTCCGGGTTCTCCGGCTTCCTCCCACAGTCCAGAAACATGCTGAGGTTAATTGGTGATTGTAAATTGTCCGTAGGTGTGAATGTGAGTGTGCTTGGTTGTCTGTCTCTAAGTGTAGCCCTGTGATAGACTGGTTACCTGTCCAGGTGAACCTGCCTTCACCCTGAGTCAGCTGGGATAGACTCCAGCCCCCCATGACCCTAGTGAGGATAAAGGTGTAGAGATGATGGATGGATGTATTGTGGCTAAGTTTAACCCATAATTGATCATCACCATTATTTTCCGCAGATCCAAAGACATCAAGCGCCTCCTGGTGAGCTTCATGTACCTCCAGAGCCTGCTGCAGCCCAAGAACAGGTCAGAGCTCGTGCTGCATCACAGTGGTCCTCCACTGTGGTTTCATTTATTTCTAATGACTTCCTGTGTGTCTGCAGTAGGCCTGTGTTCTCCAGGTCAGGTTGTTCATTGGTCAGTTGAGATGCTTTCGTTCAACCCAGATAGCGCAGCGTCCAGTCGGATGACTTGTTCTGTTCCTCCATAGCTGCTGTTCTGGGATCACCAGTTGGTAGAGTTTAGTTATTGTTTTAATCATGTGAATGTGGGCAGGTGCACACTGCTCTGCTTTCAGTATAAAATAAGCAGGTTCAAATGATTCTAAATTTGCTTCAACACTGTCTTTCTGTTAGTTTATAATGTGTTGAGGTTAACTAGGCTAGCAGGTAGCGTGACTGAGTTCTTCTGAGGACAACTTGCAGGTTGTTTTTCCCTCTCAGCGAATAAACTGGTTGGACACTAGCTACAGTTTTAGACAACCAAGATTTTCTCTCATTGATTTCAGCAGTACTCTGTCATGTCCAACACTTTAGCTGCAGCAGTGATTAAAGTCAGATTTTCTGTGTATCCAGGGGACACAACAGGATGATTTCAGTCTTTGCTGCCAAATCAGCAAGTAGGAATCACAAAACGACAAACAGAGCCTGGCTTTGTTTTCCTCTCAGCTGCTGGTGTCATGCCTGGACTTTGCTGGATTGTGTCTACATTCATTTAAAGAACATCCTTCATTTATTCTGTTGCTTTCGCTCCTCTGTGTCCAGTCTGATGGAGACGGAGCTGACCTCCCTGTGTCAGTCGGTGCTGGAGGACTTCAACCTGGTCCTGTTCTACCTGCCGCCCCCAACACACGGCGGCGCCCACCACTCGCCCAGCGAGGAAGACGAGGAGCAGCAGCAGCAGCAGCAGCACGCTGACAGCTCCTGTCCTGTACTGCCTGACACCCTCATCTTCAAGATGGTGGTCACATGTCTGATGGTGGTGCACAGCCTGAAGAGAGGAGGTCAGTGTTGTGTCTTCTCAGGGCTGGTGTGTATTTTGCTGTTTTGGGATTTCTAAAATTATTGACATAGTTTGTTATGACAGTAATCCAGAACAGCTCTTCATCATGTCCTTTTAAAAACTCTGCTTTCATGTCATTATCGTCCTCAGAGGGCCTGGCTGTCCTCATCAGGGCAGATTAGAGTAATTAGCAGAAGACAGCAGCCAGGCGTCGTTTTGTTTTAGGGGTTGCTGAGCATAAAACTAACCAGAGCTGTTCCCACAACCGCTGCATTGATCATGAAATGTGGACACGAGCTTTCAGTTTTAAAAATGCAAATAGAAAACAAATCATATTTCGGTAAAAGCATCATCAGGATAGACTGCAGTGGGGCTGCAAGGTGTGGCCTCACAGCTAGAAGGTCGCCGGTTCACGTCCCGGTGAGGACACCCGGGATCTTTCTGCGTGGAGTCTCCATGTTCTCCCCGTGCAGCGTGGGTTCTCTCCGGGTTCTCCGGCTTCCTCCCACAGTCCAGAAACATGCTGAGGTTAATTGGTGATTGTAAATTGTCCGTAGGTGTGAATGTGAGTGTGCTTGGTTGTCTGTCTCTAAGTGTAGCCCTGTGATAGACTGGTTACCTGTCCAGGTGAACCTGCCTTCACCCTGAGTCAGCTGGGATAGGCTCCGCCCCCCATGACCCTAGTGAGGGTGAAGGTGTAGAGATTATGGATGGATGTAGGTAAAAGTATCATCAGGAGCTTGTTTTGTATTATAACAAATGTTCTTCTGTCTCTAGGATCGAAGCAGTACAGCGCGTCCATAGCTTTCACGCTGGCCCTCTTCTCCCACCTGGTAAACCACGTCAACATCCGACTGCAGGCTGAACTGGAGGAAACGGAGAGCCAGGTGCCTCCACTTCACACTGATGCTGCAGGTGAGAGACAGAATCCCTCTTTTCATGTGCATATAAAGCAGAAAAGGCACACAAGTGCAGGTTATTTCTCTGCAGCTAATAAAACCTCATAAATCAGCACAGCACAGAGAACGTCTCAGCCAATGTCAGCTGTACGGACCGATCTGTCAGTCTCAGTTTCTCCTGATCAGCAACATCTTTCAGGATTTAAGTGGCTGTGATTTGAAGTGCACATCTTTTGGGAAAGCAATATGTGAAGTTTCAGCCCTATTACGACGTATTTACCTCCTTACATCTTGACTTGCTTCGATGTCAGGAGCAATTTTAAGTTAAGCACATTTATTCAATCTGTCTGATTTGCTCTTCCAGCAATAACCCACCGGAGAACGTTTCATTTGTTTAGAGAAAGATGTTGTTAGAAGTGAAATATCTTTGAAAAGCAGCCTGAATGAAAATGAAACAGGCAGCACATCCTTCTTGTTTTATCCAGATGACCTGGACATGAGGGATTCGTCAGTTCCACCGACGGATCACTCGGATGAAAGGCCTCTGCAGAACGGGTCCCTGGAGCAGGAGGACGAGGAGGACAAGGATGAAGACGGCTGCGAGCGGGTCGGCGCCAAAAAGCACAGCAGTGTGGAAGAACAGCGCAAGATGGAGGAGGAGAAACAGAGGCAGAAGAAGAAGTACACCCGCCTGTCTCGACTCCGCCGTCGCCGCTGTGCTCGCAAAGATGGCCGAGGAGAGGACGAGAGCGACCTGAGCGAAGGCTTCGAGAGCGAAGAGGATGAAGAGGAAGATGAGGAGAGGAGGGGCCATGCTGATTTAACGGGTGGGACCACGACGGAAACCCCGCTGAATCCTTCATCTGTCAGGAAGGAGGCGAAGAAAGACCCGCTGGGTGAGGAGGGCAGCTGGGGCAGTGGCTCAGAGGAGGAGGAGGAGGAGGAGGAAGGTGGAACGGCATTTGATGTAGAGACCGATTCAGACATGAACAGCCAAGAGTCTCGCTCAGACCTGGAAGACATGGAGGACACGGAAAACTCGGACAACCTGGAGGGTCAGGCTCGGGAGCACCAGGACGAAGAGGAAGAGGAAGACCAGCCAAAGGAAGAAGGAGGAGAGAGGGACGGGGATACGCCTCCAGCCACCAACGGGCCGCTGGCGCCCAGCGACGCCAGCATCAGCAGTAACCTCCAGGCCATGTCTTCTCAGCTCTTCCAGGCAAAGCGCTGCTTCCGCCTGGCGCCGACCTTCAGCAACATGCTGCTCAGGCCTCAAGCCTCAGCTTCCTCCAGCATCCCCACACCCACCGACACCTCTGCTCCGCCCTCCCAGGAGACCCCTCCTCCTCCCGGGGAGTCGCCCTGTGACATGAACCCTGGGACGGCCAACGGAACCAATGAGAACGGTGATTTGCATTTCAAATGTTCTTGTTCACTTTTTCCCAACTTATTGAACGTTTTCTTGTACTTTTGTTCCTTTTTAAAGAAATATTCTCAAAGAATTCAAAATGTAGTTCCGTTGAAATCAAAGCTGTGTTTTGGCTCAGTTTCTGTGTCACCGCATTCTCCAGACTTGGACTCTGATTCGGAGGGCAGTCAGCACAGCACTCAGTCAGCACACAGTGAGAAAACCCTCCTGGAGAAGCTGGAGATCCTGACCAATCAGGGCTTGATCCAGGTGGTGAAGGTCTTCGTTGATTGGCTGAGGACAAACACGGATATTATCCTCATGTGTGCACAGGTGAGATTTACTGCTTTCTCTGTGAAACATTGACGTTTTAGTGTGTCACCAGCTGATCAGCGGTTCTGTCTGCAGAGTTCTCAGAGCCTGTGGAACCGGCTGTCTGTGCTGCTCAACCTGCTCCCAGATGGCAGCAAGATGCTGGAGGCCGGTGAGTTCCTGCTGCACTGCACCGCATAGACATTTGTACTCGTCATCACAGCAGTCAGGGCTTTTGTTTTGCCCCTGGGTCCACACATCGTGGAGTGTCAGCTGTGTCGATGTGTTCAGACACAAAGCGAAGACGTTTTCTGTGTCTGTGTGTGTTTTAGTTTTAATTCTCTGCCAAATTACCTCTTGAATAACTTTTTTGTCAAAATCTGATTCAGCAAACCATCAAACACAGAAACGGAGTCAGGTTTGGTGGTCTGGCTGTAACATGCAGTCTGCAGACGACACACACCTGGATGAGGAGGTTCAGGTTTACGCTGCTGGGTTCAGCTGAGACATAAAGGATGATCCTGAGGCAGCTGAACAAGGTGGCAGCTATTAAAGGACAACTCCTGGACTGGACAAGCTGCCAGATACCTAAAGAATGCTTCAAATGTAGAAAATATTTAAGTCAATCACAAACTCCTCGTTTCTGAATTCTCTGAACTCCTCATGTTGTGCTCCGGTCCCGTTCCCCTCACCGTGGGCTCCTTCTTCACCATAAAGCCTTGGACCACAGAACTGAGGAATGTCTTCTGTGCAGTACGACGCAGTAATGCCGTCAATAAATAAAAACAGAAAGCTGAATTTTGTCTTTATTTTACCAAAAATTGTAAACAAAGTATAAACAACACATGTCCAGGTGCGACCAGGTGTTACCGGGACAGAGTCATGTGATGTTGATGAAATATGACAACCTGAAGCTGATATTTGTTTTAGTTTTGTTGTGACAGAACCGTACATCACATGTGATTAGTTTTAGGACTGTTGGAAAGATGAAAACCCATGATTCTTTTTGTTTTTACATTTTTTGCCTCTTTATAAATTATGGTATTTATGGGCTGGTGCTACAGCTCACCTGGTTGAGCTGGCGACCCAGGTACAGCGGCTGTAGTCCTCGATGCAGCGGCCGTGGGTTCAAATCCCACTCATGGGCCTTTTGCTGCAGGTCCTCCCTCCATCCTCCTCCTCCACCTTCCTGTCTGTCTGGCGACTGTCCCGCCTAATAAAGGCAATAAAAAAAAAAGTATGGAATTTATGTGATTTCATGCTTTTAGTTGTTTGTTTGTTTTTTTTAAAGAAAATGTGTCTATCAAACCTTTAATGGGCTCCAAATGGCTCATGAATGGTCCAAGATTACTAATAAAAATAATTCACTGTTATCAGTTGGAGTCAGTTGTTGAGGCATTCTAACTCTGTCCTTAGGTTTAAATAAAATTCAAAGTACCAAGACAAAACTCTTGCTAAGTGGGAGGAAATGAGGGAATCTCATTTTTCCATGCAGTTCAGTGTAACTGTGTAGTTTTAAATCTTTAGTGATGAGTCCACATCCCCGAGCTCTGACCTCATCCCTGTGCTGTCACGTTCCAAACAGTGCCGATCCTCAGCTGTGTGACTTTTACTCTGAGCCTCCAGTGGGTTTACGTATTTATCTGTGTGTGTGCTGCAGAACTGGGTCTGAACGCGGAGGTGACGGAGCTGCTGAATGAGTGCGAGCAGCCCGGTCTGGTCCAGAGCCTGCTGCTGCCCGAGGATCTGGCTCTGCGACACCTGCCCGCCCTCAGCGTCGCTCATCGCCGCCTCGATTTCACCCGCCGCAACCCGTCCCTCAGCCCCCTGCAGGAGGTAAACACACACCGTCAGATGAGACTGAGCAAATGTTTGATGTGGATCAGGAGCGCTGGAAAACGTAAAGGAAGTGATGTCTGCTGATTGTTCTGCATGTCTTATGAGTCCTGTGCTGGTTTGTTGATCAGAACATAGACGTCATCATCTCGTATAAAAACATGCTCCGTGTGTAAAGTCTCATGAATTAGTGGCATTTTGGAGAAGCTACGGTAGAAGTGGACCTTAAACACACCGTCCCTGTGCGTCCTGGAGGTGACATGTGACTCATTTTCACTATTCTAACAGATTTATTGACTTCACCTCAGGAGCTGGAGGTTAACTGATTATCCAATCAGCCAGTGGATACAACATTAATTATCCAGTGTTTTGATGAGAGATTAACTGTTTAAGCTGTTTTTCTTTATGTTATGTAAGAGTGAGCCAGAAGTTTTCCTCCTAAACAGGCTTTAGCCAGCAGCAAAGGAAAATCATACCTGAGAATTTATTTCTTATTATTATTTAACCAGGAATTAAAATAAATATATTTTTTAAAAACTTTTTTTCCCCTTGTTTGCTCAGTTATAGACGATTTGTTACCAGATGGTCACAAATAAGATTTCTGTCAACAGGGTAACGCAGATGTTACTGTGCACCGACGGATCTGCTTATTGTGGTGCACGGACCGACCCAGAGGAGCGTTCTGAGACACTGAAACTAACACCAATCACCACAGTTTTTATTATTTTATAGCGCCAACAATCACTAAATAACTGGAGAAATCAACCTGCTGATACGGCAGCGCCTTCAAACCGGATCCTCGTTGCCAGTTTAAAATGTTTTCCTGCCATGATGTGCTGCACCATCTGCACTGTTAGAGTGTAATAACAGCACACGTATGAAACCAAGAGGGAGGCTCTCTGCATTTGGCTGTCAGTAATAAATGACAACTAAAAGTAACCAGAACATGTATGATCTAATACGTCAGATGTGTAGAAATGTAGGTGTGCTGTGAGCTTGACTGTATTTTCTGTCCAGACATGCGTGATGTAGAACTAAACGTTTCCTCCGTTCCTCCCAGTGCGTGGTGCGAGTGTGCTGTATTCGCAGTTTTGGCCACTTCCTCACAAATCTCCAAGGCAACGTGCTGCACTTCAACCCGGAGGCGGGCATCTTCACCAGCATCAGCCAGTCGGAGCAGGAGAATCTGGTGCAGCAGGCCAAGGCCCAGTTCCGAATGGTGAGTGACATCTGAACAGAACCGCAGGCGGCCTGCATTCAGCTTGTCATCAGTCAGTAATGAAACGGTGGCGTTGTGTAACTGTCGACCTAAATATGAGTGAACAATGTTTAACTAATGACCTGGAACCCAAACGGGTTCTACATGTGTGCAAAGCACCGGTCCCACTTGGTGTTGACTCTGTTTGGTCTATCTTTATTTGTGCAGGCTGAAGAGGAGGCTCGTCGAAATCGCTTAATGAGGGACATGGCCCAGCTCCGGCTGCAGGTCTGTATTATCGCTCCGTCCACTGAGTGTTCAGCCTGTTTGTGTTCCTCTCAGATACAGCGTCGACACAGCTGTGCACTGATCCAGTCATCACTCTCAGAAGGTCCTGGTTCTGTTGAAAAATACATCAACTGTCTCGTGTATGTGTCTGGAAATTGTTAAAAATGTATGGTCAAGCCTCGGAAAGGAAACGAACCGACAGCTGAGTGGTTAGGGCACATGGTTGAGTGGTCGGTACCACATGGGCCCACATGGCTCCAGCAGTGAGTCCACATCCTTATTGCATGTTATGGCTTTCTCTCCCTACTGGAACTGCCCAATTAGGGCCAAAAAATTATATTTAAAAGAAGAAAAACGTTGTAAAACACCACTTTTCCATCTGATGTCCTCAGCAGTCCTGACATCATATTTCTGATACCATCATTGTTCTGAGGTGTTGGGTCTCTCCTTGCAGTTGGAGGTGTCACAGCTAGAGGGCAGCCTTCAGCAGCCCAAAGCCCAGTCGTCCATGTCTCCCTACCTGGTGCCCGACACAGCTGCTCTCTGCCAGCATCTGAACCTCATCCGGCAGCTGGCTGGAAGCGGCTGCTTCATCATCATCATCCCGCGGACAGGTCAGTGCGCCGCCTCGTCCTGCGTCCGTCCTGAGCGGCGGCGCGTTGTGTTCGGTTCGGTTCTGGATGAGACGTTTCCGTGACGACAGGCTTTGCTGTGTAGATGATGTTCATCCAAACCTGATCTGCTGACACTCAGATGCTTTTCCACGAAAGTGTAAAAAGAAAAATGAATTTATTAATGAATATTTCTGTTGGTTTTCTGTCACATTTTCAACAATTAGGCAGTAATAATTCTGAAACGGGTCTTAAAATGGATCCTGTCTGGTTTCAAACTGTTAGTTAAACAATTACTAAGAAGAAAGCATATATTCATTAACTGACTTGCTGCAGCTCTCGTTAGCGGTGTGACGGCTCTGGTTTCAACACTGAGCTGCCATCCAGGATAATGAGACTAAACAGCACCACATGTCATAAACGTACCAGTTCGATCATGGCTGTGACACAGAGTCTCAACCAAAATAAGTCCAACCCCGGTTTAAATAGATCCAAACCTGAGTCACTGTTTAATCCGGACCTCCTCTGTGTTGCAGTGATCGATGGACTCGACCGGCTGAAGAAGGAAAACGCTGGTGCGAGGGACGGCATCCGCTTCCTGGAGTCAGAGTTTCGCAAAGGCAACAGGTGTGTTTCTGTGGGACGTACGCTGACTGATGGAGAGTGTTGCAGCTTTACTGTCAGATAAATGCTGACGCTGACTTTTCTCCATAAACCTTCTTTTAAACGCCGGTGTTCTGTGCTCCGCCCCTGCTCAGGTACATACGCTGCCAGAAAGAGTCGGGCCGAAGCTTTGACAGAGATAAAGTGAAGCGGCAGGACATCGAAGCCTGGTACAGCCTCCGTCTCTCCAACTGTTCACTCACTCAGTAGGTGGAAATCAGTTCTGACTGGACTCCTGCTTCCTCCTTTCTAGGCATCTCTACAAAATGGTGGACAGCTGCCGTCAGCTGACGGTCTCCCAGAGCAACGGCGATGAAGACACAGCCGGCATGGTGACCATCCTCACAGGCCATCAGGTGGAGGAGCTTTGCTCTCAGTCAGCAGCCATGAAGGTCAGTCGCTCGCTGCATGTTTGTTACAGACACTGAGATTCTCCACCAGCACCAGCAGCCCGATGGGTTTGGTTCTGCCTCGTGACAGTCTGCTGTGTTCACCGCTGCTCTGTTTCTGTACAGAACCACATTTGTGATGGTTTCTTGAGCTGCAGGAAACATTTGTTGTTCATAAACGGTGTCTAATTTCATGACAGAAGACTTTTGAACCTCAGTGTTTCTGTAGATCCACAGACATGAGCTGCTGTCAGAACCAACGTTTGTAGTGACTTCTGGTGTTTTTATTACGACTTCAGAGCGCGTTGATGTTAAACCAATGTACTGATGATGAGGAGGCCCAGAATAAACACGGACACATGAACACCCACCAGGCAGGTTTTACATACGAGCAGTTTTCTTATTCTGCGCCGTGATCGTGGACATTGGAAAGCATCGTACTGATGTCTGCACCTGCCAGCGAGCAGAGTCATAATATGGCATCATGGGGGAGACCTGACGTTCTCTGGAAGGAGGTGGAAGGAACTCGTGTGTGTTCTGGTGTCTGACAGAGCTGACTCAGCAGATACCAGCAACACCCAGTATTGTGCATCCCGACATGAACCTGTCTGATTTTCAGACACTCTGAGGGGTTGTGCTGATGAATTTTGTATGTGTTAGTAATCCAGAGCAGAAGTATGGCCTCCATCAGTACACCAGCTGGCAGGTTGTCATCACAGGCGTTCATGCACTTGGCTGTTCACCAGAGACGTCACACAGTAGATGTGAAGAATGAAAACATGACTTTTCCTGCAGACTCGACGCCGACACACCCAGCTGACATGGAGCTGGTGTCTCTCAGCTCTGACATCATGTAGTCGTTGTATTATTTAGTTGTGTCTTCTTCCTGCCCTTAACGCCGTCTTCCTCTCCGCCAGGCGGCGATCCAGGCGGCCGGCTCGGCGGGCATGGAGCTGAAGAACATCGTGGAGTTCTACCGTCAGTGGAAGGAGATCGGCTGAGAGGCGGAAACGGGGGCAGCTGTCGGCGCTGCGACCAGCTGATCGATCACAACACTCGCTCCCTCTCTCTCTCTCCCACTCTTTTTGCTCTGTGTGTATCTGCGTCTCCAACGGCAACAAAACAAGTCAGAAGGAAGCTGGACGGAAGAGTTAAAGCTTAGAGAGCTGGAAAAGTAAATACAGTGGAGTAAAAAATCAATACGAAGAAGAGAAAAGCGAGCGAGACGGCGTCATCAGAAACAGCAGATCTCCCACTCCTCACCCTACACATAAAGAGCGACCCCTAGTGGTCGGGGGTGAGGACGCAGTGGGGTGATGCTACACAATTTGAAGTGCCCCTGGTTCACACCCTAACCAGGAATACACTGTATATGTTAGCAAACGAGTACATACGTGTTGAGAGAAGCCGCGCACACACAAACACATTCACGCTCAGACAACGAATCCATATAGATATTTAGAGCAGTGGTTTGGACTTCCGTTCCCGCCTCCCCTTTCCCCATCAGGCTGTGTTTGAGAAACAGGGACGAGAATGTGAGTGTGGTGGGCTGTGTTTAGTGAAGTCAAGAGTGTATGACGACAACTTGGAGGCAGAGGAAACTCTGTCCAGCTGACACTTGCGGCTTCCAGCCTTCAACAACAAAGCGGGCGTCTCGTGGCTCACAGGCCTCTAGGAGGGTTGAGGGAAGGCACATGTACACTTCTCCGGGATCGGTTTCTTTCCTATGTGGCTTTTTAAAATTTTATTTGGTTTTGTTTTTCTTTATTTGCGGTGTACTTTGTGACCAGTGACTTATGTATTGTGCTGTCTCCGTACGAGAGCAGGAAAAAAAGACGACATTACAGGTGTTGCCCTGTTTAAAGTTTAATTTGGATTTTATTTTTGTACCCAAATGATGTTGTTTATTTTGATTTTTTTTTTTTTTTGTAAGCTAAATCTGAATGATATATGCAAGAATGTTTAAGGGACGGGGTTGTTGTCATGCGTTGATCCACTGAACAAGACCTTCAGTTCTGAAACGTCAGAGAAGCCTAGAATCTCTTTATCCAGGGGTCCAGGCAGGTAGGAGCCGGCTGGTTCATGTGGTCGCTGGTCAGGACGGAGAGGGGCCGGATGAGGAATGTGGGTTGTGTTTGGACCCCCTGTAAACTCCTAACATGTATCCCATCGACATCACCATTTCCATAGTGACTGTCCAATCATGCACAGTGCAAAAGAAAACCAGTATATGTGTGTGGTCATACATTGAACAATAAAAAGAAACTCGTATACGACGTCCACCTCGTTCTTCTTGTCAGTCTTTGGTGCTGTTTTTCATATTCAAAAGGGGCTGCAGGTGGTTCAGTGGTTAGCATCGTGGCCTCACAGCTAGAAGGTCGCCGGTTGGCGTCCCGGTGAGGACACCCGGGATCTTCCTGCGTGGAGTCTCCATGTTCTCCCCGTGCAGCGTGGGTTCTCTCCGGGTTCTCCGGCTTCCTCCCACAGTCCAGAAACATGCTGAGGTTAATTGGTGATTGTAAATTGTCCGTAGGTGTGAATGTGAGTGTGCTTGGTTGTCTGTCTCTAAGTGTAGCCCTGTGATAGACTGGTTACCTGTCCAGGTGAACCTGCCTTCACCCTGAGTCAGCTGGGATAGGCTCCACCCCCCATAGTGAGGATTAAGGTGTAGAGATGATGGATGGATAGAAAATTGAGTGTCAAATCTGATGATCAATCAGCTGAAAATTAGGCTTTTTAATGCACTTTAAATCAAATTTGGCATTTTGGGATATTTTTCTTCTAGAACTCGTCTTCTTTCGAGCTCATGGAAAGAAAACAACCAAAACACACATTTAGATGTTTATTTTACGACACTTTGTCTGTCTGCTTCAGTAGCTTTTAGTTTTAATGCTTATTTTTAAAGTCCATTTTTTGCTAAATTAAAATCAGCTAAAAGTCTGCCCCATGCATGGGTTTACACCTGCCTGTAAGGTTTTTATGGATCATTCACAACCTGTTGTTCCTAAAAGCATTTCCCCTCCGTAAACACAAAATGGAAACAAAAACTGAAGTCAAAGTATTTTTAGACATAAAACCTCATTTTTATTTTTAAATCTTACATTTCAGAATACGTCAAATACAAAAACTGGACAGTAAGTGGCTGACTGAGCCAGTTTCCTGCTGCCTCCCCTCCTGTCACCTGCAGCGTTCCCCCTTAAAGGAGCATTCTGCCAGTATTATGCAAACCACACGTCCCTCAAACTGAAAGCTGTTGCGTAACGTCCTCTGTGGCTCTGAGGGAGATTTCTAAAGCAGCTTTCAGACAGAAGCCGTTGGGGGGCTGCTCTGGTGGACGGCTGTTTCTTCACATACCGGTGAGACGTGAAACTCGCTCAGGAAGTCCAGCTGAACTTTGAAGCTCACGGACACCGAAACGCTTCTGCTGCAAGTTTATGAAAGTCAGAGTTTTGCAGCTCTGGACGGTTATTAAAGCAGCAACAGATTGATCATCCTGACAGGAGCTGAGAGGGAGACGGTAGAAACACTGCTCAGGCTGCAGACGACCAGGAGTAGATGTTTGCACACACTGGCTTGGCCAACACGATGCCTTGCCACATGGCGGCGAGAACTGAGCCAGGTTCCACTTTTTTCTTTCTTTCTTCTCATTTCTACCGTTCTGCTGAAACCTTCACCGCCGACCCTGTTTGCTGGCTGCACAGCTTCACTCCAGACCAAACGATAAACTGGTCACATCACATTTCTGTGCTTCAAATATGAATTCAGTTTTGTTTTTGTTTTGCTGTTATTTCACAGATTTTCTCTGATTACAGATGATCACCAGTAAAATCAGAACAAAGTCATGGATTACAGTTTTCTTAATGTGATCATATGTTTGCATTTGATATTATTCAGAGATTTTCTTTGTCTTTTTCCAAACTGGCCATAACGTGTTTCCATAAACTCACATGGAGGCCGGTCCAGGCTGCGTGAGGCTCTCAGAAGATGCTGCTGCTTGTGGAAAACGTAGAATCCTGTTGGCGTTTTGTTTTTTTTCAACTGATCGATACTACGGGACTAAAAGTGAGGATATCCTGCGCTCGGCTGTATGCGTTCAGTTTGGACTGTTTGGGTTTCTTTTCCATTCGGTTCCAAGCTCTGACAAATGTCCAAACCCCCAGACAGCAGCAGCATAAATGATGAACTAATGACAGATGATAGAATACAGCTCACGTCTCAGACATGTTGGGTGGGATGTGGTGTGTTCTGTCATGTCCACTGTTTGTTTCTAGAAGTCTTCCACACTGAGGAGCCAGTGATGTTCAGATTTACTGCTTTTCTTTGACTAACGTGATCGTAAGCTGAATATCTCTGAGGCTGCACCAAACGAGATCTTTGAAGGTGTCGGCAGATGTTTTTCTGACAGACAGTTAGAAGCCCTGTGTCAGTGACCAAAACCCGACTCGGGTGCAGCTTGGACACTGGTCCTGAATCTAGCCTCTCCTCAGTCCCCCTGAGCGACCTGAACCCCGTCAACTCCTCATGTGAAGCCCTTCCAGAGACGCCGCCTCTTCTCTCAAACTAGGTCTCCATGTGCCATTCTTTCTCCTCTTTCATCCATCTCTTGTCCTAGGCCCAGTGCCCACCACTGACCAGGCACACAGAGCAACCAATCCCCCTGCAGCAGAACCGGTGCCAGGGCCCCAAACAGAAGACGGCTGGCACTGGTGTTGGCCCATTTTTTGCTGGGTAAGGGGGTTGGGAAACCTCACTGACCCAAAGCAATCCTCTTTCAGTGAGCTCATGAAGCTGCGGGGCTGCAGGGACTTTGGAGTGGACGGATTGGGCTGCCGGGACAGGATGAGAGGTTTAAACTTACAGAAACCCATTAGTTAGATTTACGAGTTAGTAACGAGCGCCTGTGATCCGTCTGAGAAATGTCCATGCAGGGCTCTGTGCTGGCGGTGGGGAAGTGTCTGGCCTGCCTGGAGTTCATGTGTAAGTACCGTCTGTCTGTTTGGGCCGTCTCTGGGATTCACGTGCACGCTTTAGTCTTTTTTTTTATTATTGCCAAGAATCTTTCAGACAGTTATTCTGTCCAGTGTTTCATCTTTTTCGACCGGCGCTGCAGCCCTCGTCCTCTGCGCCTGTCTGCTGATCGTGAAAACAAGGTTTCTTTCTTTGCCGCATCCAATGGAAAAAAGTCTCGGCCCCGAGGGTGGGATTTCGACACTGGTGGATCCAGTCGTGTTTTTATTTGGTTCCTGCAGGAATGTGCGCAGGGAGAGGAGGAGAGAGGGGCTTTGTGGTACAATAGGGCCGGGCCCTGCTGGGGAGTTCTGATGGAACTGTGAGTTTTCTTCCTCCTGCTTTGTCTGGACTCATCGGACACATAGAGCCGTGAAGCTGAAAGGTCAGACCAGGTTTCTGTGTGTCGCTTCCATCATCTATCTGTCTCCGTTAACTCACTGCCCTTCCTCTCCTAAAGAGACTCTGGAGGATTTGACTCGTGAGTCGCTGCTGTTTATGGGAACTGAACAAACCAAACACACACACATGTGCGGCGGTGGCGTCGGTCCGGTGTTGGCACGGCGCGTCACGGAGCTCCGTTGTTTTTACGCATGTCTCCATCACAGTTCAGTTGTAATAAAATCAGTAAGTGAGTGATTTCTGGAGCTTGTTGTGCAGGTTTGCTGAATAACAGAGTGTTTGTGGTAAATCTCAGGAGCACAGTTTGAGGTGTTTCATTTCAGTTCTGCTGTGCACTAATTCTACAAACCTTTAACTCCACCAGAGCTCCTGGGTGAGCAGCGACTGTGCAGATTTTACACGCTAAACTATGCAGTGCAAAAAACAAACAAACAAACAAACAAACAAACTACTGACATGTAATGTAGTGACACTAAACACTGGCTGTGCTACACATTAATGCATTAATAATACAAACATTATATCTGAGAGGGTCTTTTTTGTCCAATCTGCTGTTGGAGATGCTGTTATGACTGCAGTTTGTTTTTAGCTTGTGATGGAGCTTTGTGGAGGCGTGGCAACACCACCTTTTAGTCTTTCAAGTATCTCAAGTACCCTATTAATATGATTTAATTTATTTATACTATTATTATTATTATTGTTGTTGACATATAAAACACACACATTGAGAAATGACTAAAGCGTGACATCCATCCAGCACCAGACCATCAGATCTGCTACAGAAACTAAACCAACACAGTTATAAGTGAATCCCCTTTAAGCAGCAGGACACAGCGGAGCGACGTCTCCTGGTCACTTAACTCCAAGTGAAAGAGCCCCAGATCGTCTGATTGTTGAGTCTGAACTAATAAGAGCACAAACACGATGACCTCATGGAGGGAGGAGGAACATGTGCAGAACCAGGTCACAGCACATGAACAGGAGAGCTGATGTCGCAATAAGGGAGGCGTTGCTGGTCCCTCACTCCCCCACTGGGACCATAAAGCTGTTTCTGTTGAATGCACGCGGCTATTTTAAGAATTCGTAGTGATTTCCTCTGCAGATGGATTTGATCTGAAGTGTGGCGGGAGTGTCATCTACTCGGGACACGTTCACTTGTTAGAGACAGAACATGAGTGTGAATGAAGAAGCTGTTTCTGATCGGGAACAGAACCGAACCACAGCTAGCCATCGGGCCAGACTGAGCGGTCTGCTGAGGCGGTGCTGTTGTCAAGGCCTGACTGAATGTGTGGAGCTAACCGCTCATTGTGTTCCTCGGGTCACTCGGCTCTGAGTTTAGATGAATTCAAACAGAAGCTTTGCAGGAATATGATGGGACTGAAGGTTGTGCTGACACAGAATGAAACAGGATGTCCTCTCTGGGCAGAGCGAGCACAGAAGAGGCTTCATGTGACGGCGCTCATTCATGGAATCATGTGATGCAGTAGAAGTAAAAGTAAGTCAAAGGCAGCTGGACTTCTTGTAACCTGGAGGACATTTCATCATCCACAAGGCTTCATCGGTTCTGCTGAGTAATGTGGAGCAACTTCCTGAACAACGTGAGCGACCGACATCACGGCTGCTCGCTGAGGTCATCGCTGTCACGAGAGAGTCACTAAAGGTCATTAAGACCCAGCTGCTCAGTTTTCAGTCCACTACTCTGATTCAGACTAAAACATCTCAGCAGCTACACGCTGGATTGCCGTTAAGTTCTGTGCAGACATTTATGGTCCCCAGAAGATGAATCCTGCTGACTTCTGTGATTTTCTGTGAGGTTCACGTACCTCCTATCTCTGTCCTGCAGGTCCCGTGGTAGTAACACCTCCATCAGTCTTCATTTTCTCACATTTTCCACGTGGCACTGAGAGTCACCAGTTCATCCTCTGGTCACAACGAACAGATCATCACACAGCTGCTGAGCTGAGAGAGTCACAGAAACGTTCACAGTCTGGTCATAGACGGTGTGTTTAAGATGGAAGCAGCCTCCAGGTCTGACAAATGAATGCAGCAGGAAAGTGACGTCAGCCTGTATTCTTTCTGACAGCCAGCAGGGGGCGACTTCAAAAAGTCAGATTGTATAGAAGTCTGAGAAGATGGCCGACTTCTCACCGGATCTGTTCCACCAGTAGATGTTTTTCTAGTGACTTTGTGGTCTCAGTCTCCTTCAGTACAGCATCACGGCCCCATTTACAGTGAAACAGACAAGAAGCAGAGTTTACTTCAGGGCGGTGATGCCTTGTGATTGACAGACAGTACATCAGTCAGATCCATCCCTCACTGTCTGGTGCTTGATCAGAGCACTGCTGTGATTGGTCGCTTTGCTGCTTGGCTGTGACTGTTGTTAGGAAAAGGAGATGGCCCGTCCTGTAGGAGACTGTGGCTGAGTCCAGAACCATCCACTCACTCCCTGCTCACTATGTCGGGTCCACTTTGTAGTGAACGCTGTAGTGAACGATGTCAGGAGCACCGCGGCAAAGCAACACACTGCTGGAGCTGTTAGCTACGCTGCTCGCTAGCTGTGATTTGTAGCGTAGCAGCGTAGTACAAACACGTCAAATTCACAGTTTATTGCGTTGCTAAGAAACGGGTCAAGTTTAACGAGACATAAACAGGAAATGACATTTTAATGATAAGTTTTCGTGCTTTCGTTCACCTCGTTTCCGGTCACATGACGGTCCGTATGGCTGGTTAGCGACCATCGGCTGTGCGCTACTCTTCATGGTGCATTGTGGGATGTGCTGAGGGTGTAACGTCTGTAACTCTACATTCAGACAGATCTACAGAACGGCCAACAGCCTGTCAGGTGCACTGTGCAGGTACAGGATGATTCAGACACAGCCTGTGAACATAATCCATCTTCTAGTCCACAGTATACGGAGGCTGCACTGTCCCAACACGTCCATGTTCACACAGGAATGAACCAAACAACCAGTTTAAAAGCAGGAAGGTCAAAATTAAAGTTTTTAACCTTGATTTTGACTTTTGAGCTTCGATTTCAGATGCAGGCTTAGAAACGTTTTCCTTCTTCATAAAATAGAAAAAAGGAACAAGGCAGAGGACTCACAGACACATGAGATCTTCTTTTACTGTCATTGCACAGAGTGCTAAGACAGTGAAATGCAGTTTAACATGTAAGCAGACGTGCAGAAGGAGCATAGACGTGGATTCTATCCAGTCTGGGTACCAGATGAGATACGACAGGATTTCATTCATCTAAAGGAAACGGTGTCGTGGGTCAGATATGGCTCCAAAAAACACATTATCATAGAAAAGTAATAAGATATAAAGGTGACATTATAAAAAGAAGTCAACTCAAAGCTCATCGGTGATACTGAACTGGGAACGTTGCTCATAATATTAAAACACTGAGCATGAAGCAGAACAGGACCAGTACCTGAGCAAAGGTGCAAAAAAATCCCCCAAACGAAGGAAATAAAAGGTGGAAGTGAGGAGTGACTGTAGATTCATCCAGGGATCAGGAGCTTCAGGAGGAATCAGGGTTCTGGAGGACGTTTCACCTCTCATCCAAGAAGAAGAAGCTTCAGAACCTCTTCCATGAAAGGTGGACCTTAAAGAGAAGGTGGACCTTAAAGAGAAGTCCTGTTGATTTCCACTGAAGCTCCCAGAATTCCAGGAAGAGGGACCCACAGTAAACCTCCCCCCTGCCTCTGAGACCCCCTCCCCTCTGTGTGACTGTCTCAGAGCGCTGACTGGTTCTGGAGCCAGACGAAGCCCATGTGGACCTCCTCCAGCACCGTCCCTGTCAGCGCGCACACATGGCGCGTGTTGTTGTTCCTGCGTCGGGCCACGTGAGCGCCGAGCGCCGCTTCCTACTGGCTGGCGAGGGACAAGAGAAAAGGAGGCTGTGAGTGTTTTTCTTCACACAAGTCAACCCGAGACACGGAGACGTGAAGACGCGGAGCCCGGACCGTCTCCGAACGGCGCCTTTACGCAGAGAGCAGCAGAACCAGGACGCTCCGCATGTCCGAGGGTCGCGGTGAGTGCGCGCGCTTCTCACGTGTTTCGTCGCTTTGCTTTTGGCTCCTCGCTGCTTTGTTGAGGCTGAAGTTTGCCTCCTCCTCACTGGAAGCTGCTGCTGTTGTTTCTCGCATCACTTTCTCTGCGTTTCTTCTGGATCTCTGGAAAGTGGAGAAAAAAAAAAAAACAAGCAGGAGGAAACAGAAAACAGAAACAGTCGTGCTGGAGACATTCCGACTGATTAGGAGCTGCATGTGACTGACGTGTTTTCCTCCACGGTTGCTGTGGAGATGTCCAGCAGAAATAGTCCGGCTGGGTTTGGCTGCTGCTGGGTTTTCCGTCCTGTAAGAATCCACCACATGGACCTGATGAAGGAGGCACTTTAGTGTTTTACTGACATGTTTGTATCCGTCACCGTTTATTTATTTGTTTTAATCATAATGATCTCATTTTAGTAGAACATTTAAAAACAAGCAGTGAAGCAGGAAACCACCATCAGGTCCATCTGTGTCCATGTTTGTGGCCTTTTGTTGTTTAGAAGTGAGCATGTGGAGAATGAGGGATGTTTGGTGGCAAGAAGCTGGATTTATTTTTAAATAACTGACAGAACAGTTAAATTCATCTTTAATAATATCAGCTGCTGGCAGGCTGTTGATAGTCAGCGTGCCGGCGGTGGAAGGTGTGGAGCTGAAGCTGGGGGAGAGTCCTGGCATGTAAACATGAGGAGGTGGCTTCAGGGGAGCAGCATTCCTCTGGTCGTCTCCACAGCAGCAGCTCAGCCCTTTGTCTCATGTTCAAGTGTGTGACCTCACCGTGGACTGGTGGTGAGCTGGTTTCTGTTTGACTTGTGTTCCTGTTTCTCGTCAGAGGGATCGGCTGATTGTGTAATTAGACGGTTGCAGGTGTGCGGAGGTCGGTTCAGGTGGAGCCGGTCGGTTGGACAAACTAGTGGAGTGATAGTCGGTGCTGATCCGTCGGTGGGAGCCGGTGATCCTGTGTGAGAACACAGAGGTGGTGTTGCGCAACAAGCCGCTGCAGTGTTTCCATGTGAGATGCAGATGTTCAGCAGGAAACGGTGCCGAGGAGGAACACCTTCACATTCCAGCATGACTTCAGACTCAGAAACAGGGAAGTTATCAACCACATCCCATGACCTGGTGTGAGCTCCTGTGAAGGCTGAAGCAGCCTCCGGGTCACGACTGAGTTTATGTGAACTAGAAGCAGCGTTTGTTCATCCTGCATGGATTCATCTGAAAGGGAAGAAAAATCCCCAAATCAGTCCTGAAATGTGTCTGATGTCAAGTCCAGAACCCTGAGAAAGCAGCAGTCTGATGAATCATTCGACTTGTTTGTTTTAAGGTGGAGCCACAAAAACCAGTTACTAAAGCCTCAGTGTACAAACCCAGTGTCTGAGGTGTCGACATGTTCTGGGTCATGGCTTCATTATGACATTAAACTGAATCCGTCTGCCTTCTGAACAAACTCACTGATCAACTTAACGACCGGTTTGATAATTAGATAGTTGGCTGGAGTCATTTTTTAAGAAAGTAAGCCAACAGTTTGTTTTCAGCTTCCTGAATGTGAATGCTCTCTGGTTTTTCCTCTATGACAGTAAACTGAACATCTTCAGACAAAAAGTGACGTTTGAGGACAGCGATCTGGTTCTTTGGTCGACGTTTTTCACCTTTTCTGACATTTTAGGGACCAAATAACTAATTCATTGGTCGAGAAAATAATCAACCGATTTAATTATGGTAAAATAAACAGTTCAGATTTGTGAAATTCACTATTTTCTGACACCTTATAAACTTCAACCAGCAGATTAATTCCAATAGTTAGAGCTGGAGGCAGCGACTGACTGACTGACTGACTGACTGACTGACGGACTGACGGACTGACGGACTGACGGACGTTTTCTTGATGAAATGACCGAACACGATGACCTTTTATCACAACAGTTGGTTCGCTGCTCGCCAACTGTTACAGCTTTAATTCAGTTTATGGAAAAGTCCGCCATCAGCGCGTGCGCTCAGTTGAAGATGGAAAATCTCGTTCGTGTTCTCGTTTGGCTGTTTGTAAACTGCTGTTATTTTTGGCTGCAGATGTCAGAGAACCAAGAATCAAAGAGTCAAGAGGTCCTTCTAGGAATCAGGGCGCTGATGTGAAAGCAGCACAATACGAGGAAAATCTGCCCCGTGTGTGATAACATTGTTCAGCGTGACGGGAGAACCTGTGACAAACAAATACTGAAGCTCTTCCTCCGTCGCTCTGAACCCAAAGCCTGCAGCCAGGTGTGGAAGCCAGGTGGGCTCCAAAACAGAAAGAGCTGCTGGATTTTCAGACGGTCCTTGAACTGCTCATCTCTGACTTGCAGTTCTATCTGGAGAACCAGATACAGGCTAAAAAGTGTGAAATTTAATCAAAACCACAAAACAGATTCGTGTAAAAACTCCGATTAGTTCCCTCTGTGGTGCAGCCGTTCAGCCTTTACTGACCTCACAGTGACTAACAGTCATGTGACAGAAACTCAGGCTGTGTTTAAGGGCGGATAGAAGCCGAGCATAGAAACAAATAAAGAAATATAACGAGTAAAACATCTGTAATACAAAGAGACACCATCCTCCCCGGTGGTAGTCACAGCTACAGACATTTGGAGCTCCATGTTCTGCATTTCCCTCCAATGTTTGTCAAATAATCAAATAAATTCATCTTTGGCGTGTCTTTTTTTCTGATTTCTGGCATTCTAGCGTACAGAGGACTTGGTTCAGTGTCTTTACGTCTGGTTGTGGTTTCTGTGGAGGTGCAGTGAAAAAGAGCCCAGAAGGAGTTCAGAGGGTTAAACACAGCGAACACAAACCCTGAACCCTGAATACCAGCTCACCACATAAAGAAATGACATAAAATACATCACACTGAACAATCTGGACATCTGCCCACTAAACAGAGGCTGGATGTAAATCAGAATTAAACTCTGCTGCTTTTGTTTTGCATCGTGTTTATTGTTCGGCTTCGTTTTGTGATGATGATGAAACGATCTCCTCCAGTCAGGACCGATGTTCAAATAGATGCAGTTTGTTTGGTGGCAGCAGCCTCGCTGTGTGAAGACCTGAGTCACGCTTTCATTTTCCCAACTTGACAAACTTGCTTTCTGCGCCGCTCTTCACCACATGAAGCGTGTGACGGCATGTCATCTGGATGCTTCCTTAAAGGCACCATATTCTCCCATCTCTCAGTAAATCAATTAACGTCTCGCGTGTCTCCAGTTAAAACACTGCAAAGATGCTTCATGTGGCAGTGACAGCGTAGTTTTATGGATGTTTATGGGCATGTTTGCTGTTCTGAACTGGCTGTGTTGCTCTGAGCACAGATGAGCTGCTGCCCCGTCCAGAACCTGTCAGCCACTGGTTAAGCTGGACTCCTGCTGGTTGGTCGGGCCTCCCAGAGCTCCTCCTGACTGGTGAAGCTCAGCACCAGTTGTGGAGCAGATTGAGGAGTGGCAGAAAAAACCTGCTCATCACTTAACGGTTAACCACAGAACACAATAAAACTGGATTTTCACCCGACGGCACGTTTAATTGGGTTAATGATTCATCGAAGCAAACCATATAATTATTTAGAAAAGTACGTCCTCTGACAAACAGAACAGGACCGACCAGGTGTGTGGGTGTTGTTGTCTTCTGTCTTGTTGTCTCGTGGACATGTTGGAGCAGGACGCTGGAATGTTCGATAGATTAACATACAGACTGAGGCGAGGCGGCCGTACATGTGGTGCATGTGCAGCTTGCATAGCCGTCTTATTGTCAGGCCCATAAAGACGTCCATTCACACAAGTGACATGACGACATCATGAGCAGGGGAGGAGGTGAGGAGGTTCAGATGACCAGAGAAGTCTGGTTTGAGTAAATTCACATCTGATGCTGGATGTGCAGGTAGCCGGAGTCATATGGGGGGGAGAGGGAGGTGCTGCTGATCTCAGGTAAAGTGTCTCACCTGTCTGCAGCCTCGGGGTCTGTCTCCTGCTTGCTGAGTAAATACGTTCACCCAGATCAGCAGCTCTCTGTACACACAGAAACACAACAGGAGGCCGTGACCGCAACACGTCTCTACTTCAGCATATTCAAATGAAAGTGAAGCGATAACTGTTGAGATGAAGTTCTGTCAGCTGGAAGGGAAGAGTTTGATGCTACTGAAGCTGCCACCAGCAGTCATGTAGCTTAGCACAGAGTCTGGAGACAGAAGGAGAAGAGTAACCCCTAACCCAGCCCTAACCCCTAAACTAACCCCTAACCCCTAACCCAACCCTAACCCCTAAACTAACCCCTAACCCCTATCCCAACCCTAACCCCTAACCCAACCCTAACCCTAACCCTGACCCCTAACCCCTAAACCAACCCTAACCCCTAAACCAACCCTAACCCCCAGCAGTTGGTTGTTTTACACTTTCTTTGCACCAGTTAAACAAAGAAGTATTAGTCACAGTGATGTTCATGATTATCAAGTAATTCATTAATGGCTGGTAATAATCCAACCAGCTAAACATATCTTAGCTGATATAACTGAAGACAAAGGACGTGCACGTCAGAAGATGCGTTTCAGGTCAGCTGTAGTACCTGGCTACGCCACCAGGGGGAGCGTCTTACTGTTTAACGCTGTAGGGACTCCAGCAGGCGGTCACTCGGACGACGGGCTGTTCCATGTTGGTAAGCAGAGAGCATTGTGGGTGTTTAGCAAGTGAAGGGCCACCATGAGGAAGTCGCTCATGATGCTTAACGCCTCAGGCTTTACCGGCTGACTCAGTTACTCCAACAGGAAGGAGGGTAGCTGTTCAGCCTGGGTGTGTTCCTGTTGTCTTGGGTTCGTAAACTGATTGGAGCTGGTTTTGAAAACTTCAAGGTTCCTCCAGTGCGTCGGCCGCTGATCGCTGACCTCCATAAACGCCGATCAGATGATAAAATGGCTCCGCTGGTTGGCCGCGTGTCTGTAAAAGACGGTTTGCAGTTTGCAAGGTGTGCTCACATT